CTCTTCCCGTAAATTAAGAGTAATTTTGAATATCATCGTGTCAAAGACAAACTATTGCATAAAGGTCGTACCCAGTGCACAAGGCTCCCGCTTTACGCAGGGTCTGGGAGAGGTGAATGTCGGCTAGCCTTACCCTCATTTATGGAGAAGCTGCTCCCCAAAAAGACAAACTATTGCATGCATTCTGAAAATTTGTGAGGCTATTCCACGAAAGATGTAACAAGTCACAGGTTTAATCAGACTACAAATGACCTCAATTGTATCCCCCCCATTGTGTTATCCAAGGTTGGACGTACTTAAAACTCTCAGCTATCTTTACTTTTGTTAGGGCTTAAAGGCCGAAAGGGACAAGTTGGCCTTCCTTCTCTTTCTCATATGTCAAAGTACTGATAGATGATTGTAACAGCAAGCAAAATCCCAGTTCCTGAGCCAACTGCTCCCATGAAATCTGCCAGAACAGTCAAGGCACCAATGCACATGCCTCCGAATGCAGCGGCAGTATATGTAGCGGTTTAGTTCCTTCTGTAAGTTTGAATCTCTATGTCCAGGCATCACCATTTGTTGTTCCTGCAGAATTAAGCAACATAAATGTCAATCATTAATGCCCTTGGAATTATATTTTCTATATTTCATCATTAAAGGTCTTGTTTTTTGTGTAAAAAAATGACACGTGTCATTTGAAGAAGTGAAATGGTCCAAATGCAAAGGTTGCTAGTACTCCCTTAACTAGAAGCATATTAGTTCATGACGTTAAGTTGTTTGAGAATCAGAATTTAATCCTAGAAATCTCATGTCTTCACATTAATAGTCGTGCTATGAGCTCTCCAAAATGGCTTTGCAGATTATAAGTAAGTCAAAACAAAATAAATAGGTTGAGGAAGGCCAAAATACGTTGAGCTGCTTAGCTACATCTCGGGTGGAAGAACCAGAAACTTAAATCCAAGTTTTTGAGAAGAGTACTCAGGCTGAAAGCATGAACACTAGATAGAACAGAGCATGGAATGGATTGGCTGCCATGTCCACCAAGCTGTGATTAAAACCACATTGCCAAAGAAAAAGAAACACTGCTATGAGTACATGCTTTCACACATGAAGCATGATAAGAAATGGCTGGAGATTTCAAAGGTTACGCAAAACTATGTGCTGGATCACCTTCCTGGAGCCGTGACATAGTAGGCAAGACCACCAACTGGAATAGATTGACCGGAATATTCAGACTCCTGCCACTTTCCGAGAGTATTCACAAAGAAATTCCCACTGAACTTCCTGTAAAGCAACTCTACGATAAAACAAGTTGGCTTTTTAGCCAAAATGGTCTCTGAGATTTGCATAACACATCACTTTGGTTCCTGAGATTGAAAATCAATAGAAATGGTCCCTGAGATTGTCTACCATCCATTATTTTGGTCATTCCGTTAAAAAATTCGTTAAGTGTCCCGGAGCTCTTGGCCGAAAGTTTGGGCAATTTTTAAAGCTTCATAACTTAATCGTTTCTTAACCAAATTTGACCCATAATATATCAAAATGAAGATACGAAAGTATAGAACACGATTATACCATTTGGAAAGATACCATTCTCTTCTTCTCATCGATAAGTATGATTTTCATTTTTGAATCACTCGATTTCGTTGAGTATTGAAGAAGTTATGAACGTCTAAAGTTTACCCAGTTTCCGGCGAGTTTTCCAGTTTTCCCACGAACTAGTCACCTTTCAGGCAATTTTCCGGTCATCTTAGTCAACCATTGGGTTTCCAAATAGATATTCTTGTTCTCTACTTTCTTATCTTCATTTTGATATATTATAGGTCGAATTTGGTTAAGAAACAATTGAGTTACAAAGTTTTGAAAATTGCCCAAACTTTCGGTTAAGAACTCCAAGACACTTAACGAAGTTTTTAACAGAATGACCAAAATAATGGATGGTGGACAATCTCATGGACCATTTCTATTGATTTTCAATCTTAGGGACCAAAGTGATGTATTATGTAAATCTCAGGACCATTTTGGCTAAAAAGCCAAACAAGTTTCATGTCAATTGATTAACAAATGCAGTAAAGAGCCTTCAGTTTTTATTGCCTAGTAACTTACTTGAGAGATGAAATAAAGATTGGAGACAAGAGCAGAATGTAGAATGATGGGCATGTTAGAGGTGTAGAAAAGCTTAATAGGATATGGTCCCTGCTGTCCACGGGCATTCTTTGATCTCACCGGTAAAACAACACGAAAACCTTGGAAGTAGACGACAATGAGAAAGATTAAGACTGCCGCAAGCAGATTAGTAACATTTGGTAGGTTTTGCCTGTAGAAAGCTTCGTGAAGAGCGCGAACTTTGTCTGTCCTGGTGATCAAGAGATGGAACAGTGCAATGATGGCACCTTCGAATTCAGCTCCACGTCCGCTATTGATAGTTGTAGGGCTAAAAGCCTTCCAGATGATGCTTTCACTGCATAATCAAACCATAAGTCAATTACGGCAAGATCATAGATTATATATAGAGAGTTTTTACGAAACATTCCCGATACTGTTCATTTTTAACGAAAAACCACATTTTTACCGTTCTCTGATACTATTCACTACACCACATATATAATACTAAAAAGTAAAAGAAATACAGGTTTCTAGCGTACCAAATGTTGGTAGCTATAAAAAGGGAGATCCAGGTGTTCGTCTTGAGGAATATCCAGTGGGGACGTTTCCTGGCCAACGAGCACACAGCTCCTCGAGAGGTTGGCATCGGTTGATATCGTCTGTCGGGCTTCTGCGTATTGGCGGGCTGTAAGAGAATGACAGAGTTAATTCTAAAAAGTGCCTTTGTAGGGCCTTAGGTGTAGACCTTGAGGCTCGCAATAAAAAATAACTTTAAGTACCCAGGCGTGCCACTGCCATCTTTAGCATGACAGATGTAAAACCGATGTTAAGTTTTATTATATATATATATATGTCCGAGAAACCAAGTTAGTTATGAAAAGTGCCTTTATGGGGCCTTAGGTGTAGGTTTTGAGGCTTCTCGTCAAAACTAACCAAATACTTGAACATATATTGGTTGTTTCATTGTTGCAGAAGTATCACAACCGTTATACTTTAATCGCCCGAGCCCGCAGAGCCGAACGAACTCATATAGGTACCTTTGTTGGGCCTTAGATATAGGCCTTGAGGCTTCCTATCAGAATTAATTCTATACTCAAGCGTTCTGTAGCAATCATAATATAACAGAAGTAAAACTAGAAAATAGGCTAATTACTTGCGTCCCAAGTAACTTCGGACTTCTTGTTATCAATGACTGTCGTAGATAGGTTAAGTCCATATAGGGTTATTTTTTATGCCTTGAGACCAAGAACTTTTAATTGATCAATCTTGTATGCCTGAATAGTTAGAACTTAGAAGTCTTTTAATCATAAAGTAGTTAGAAATAACTTGAATGCAGATGGAAATATACATCATATTACTAGATTTATGAATGAAAGACAAAAACAAAGGAGGTCGGGCAAGGTTTCACCTTGTCGGGTAAGACTGATCGTCTTGCAACTTCCTCTCTTTGTGATTTACAAAGGGTTTGAGTGCTAGAAGGGGAGATTGGAAGATGAGTTTACATGAGGGAATCATACTACATCAAGATTTAGACAGGGTAGCAGAGCTTTTACAAAGGCTTTCTAGTGAAGGTTGATCCCAAAATGGATGAAGGCTTGGTGCTGACTACAGCTTCGTATGCAAATCTGGCTTGAGCATAGTTTGTGTATTTGTTTGATTGAGTGTCATTGTCTCTAATTTTTCTTCCTCCTTTTATAGACGATTTGGCTTGGCTGCCTACAGTATTGATTTTGCCCGAATGCATCTGAAGGGTAGTGACCCATCAACTTTTTACTTGTACTGCCATTGTAAAGTACTTTTGGGCTGATTAGCTGGCTGGTCTACACTACTTGACCTCTAGGTAGGTGAGTAGGTGGTTTGAATGATCTGCACTTGGTCGGGAAAAAGGCACCTTCTTTCTTCTGGGCTTCGGCTGGGCCTTGGGCTTTTTCTCCTTCTGGACCTTATTTTGGGCTAACCCTTTTTTAACCCAAAGTTCAAATTTTATCCCAAACCATATCCCTTCTGAAGAAGTTCATCTAGGCAAATCACAATAATTGCGGCAAAGCAGAGCTGAACTATGACAAGAATGGCATTCCCGACACCAAGTTGACCGACACTACCATCATACCTGAAAGCACATAGGCAACAGCTTGACCAACAGCAATCAGGATGGCCATCAACTTTTGTGCTCCGTTTCTGCAAATTAAGCACACACAATTGTGACTTAGCCACCGCGTTATCGTGCATGTCGTGGCGGACGTAGAGTCAGCGTGCATGCACCGTCAGCGTTCGGGCACAAATTACAACGACAAGTGACGACTACTGAGTCAATCGTGTATTGCCGCGTGTGACTCTCGTTTGAGCAGCTTGACGTGTTCGTTTGTTGCGCTCCCTTTCAATTTCTTTGCTTTCTGGCATTCCATTTTTCATTTTTTTTACTTTTCTTTCTAATTGGGCCTTTTATTTTCTAATAGGACCGAGAACTCTTGGGTCGGGCCCAATCCCAACCTCTTGTATTTTTGGGTCCACCCTTCTTGAACGACGGTTCTGTTCTTAGGGTGGACAACTGGATCATGTAGCTGTCCCACCGCGCACACAAAACCTTTAGTATTCAAATATTTTGGTTCACCCACTTCTACTTCAGTCGGGCCACCTTATATAGGCGTGCAGACTGAAGAATTTCTCCTTACCACGATAATGGTAATCGGTGCTCTTTGAAACTTTTTTTTTTTGAACAAACGATATTACCTACACTAAATGGGAGAAGGTTGACTTAGCCTTACAATGAGTTAAAAATAATATAGTTCAAATTTACCTCTGACAGAAGTCGAAGATAAGACCTCTTAGCAATTGATAGTCGAGTGCAACCGCGTCCAGGCCTGTAGGGTTTTTTTGTTATGAAAGGGAGTTTAAGAGCTTACTGTTTTGGAGATATAAAAAGTCCCATTGTCTTGGTCCCAAGAAAATAAAGGTACCAATGAACATTAAAGTTGCCTGTGATGCACAACATGAGGACTTACATGGCACAACATTAAAGGTGTCATGTAAGTAGTTCTCTCACAATAGTACAAAAACATTATGTAGACGTGAAATACACATCCATCAAAAAGAAAGGAAAAGGCGAAAAAGAGTTATAAAATGCCTGCAAGTGCCTATAAGATGGGTAACTACACCCTAAATTGACTTACTACTCCCCCGTTTGTGGCAATGGGGTTGCCATCCTAATTCGAAACTACGTAATCCCTATGCGCTTCTTCCAGCAGAGTTATCCCGCATTTAGATTTATCAGCTGTAGTGTATAAAAGTCAGATGTAAGAACATGCTTCCTTGGCTTACGCTGGCAGCTGAAGCTTTGCATTGTTTTTCCAGCTGCAAAACAAACAGCTTGTCATGTTAACTATCTAAGAGAGTGAACAAGGATCGTTGGCAAGAAAGTGCCATATTAGCTACCTGATAAAATAGTAGTAGAAAAAATCTGCATATAAAGCTGTCTGAACCAGACCAGCGACACACGCTGCAAAATTGTAAAAGAAAACAAGTCAGCCAAACCATACAAAGAGCATGAGGCCCCGCACCCCGCAAAGTAAATAAGATTATATAGGAAAGAAAATATTTGTCCTCAATGGTTCTCACTTAACTTACCTATCCATCGACTGAAGTGTGGTTCTGTGAAGTAGCGGTAGATCCAGTTGAGAATGTACAATGCACGGTAGGCCCTGCAATATGAAACTTAACTTATATCCCCAGATTTTTTTTCTGAAAAGATGTCACAATCCAACTTTGCACACAAATGCGTAAAAGTATACCAACTATCAATCTAATCTGGTCTAAACTGCTGTATCTGTTTGTTTGTTTACTTGATTTCAAATTTTCAATATATTCAGCATTCATTCAAGGAAGCAAGAAACAAAATCACTTCATTAGTAACCACACACTAACTTGGGGACCAATCTTAAAACCATGTATGTGTAAAGGAAATGTTATGCTGTGAAACAAAATATATATTTGCATCGATGTCTCAGAATCTAACTTCTATAAACTATTCCAACTTGCCCGAGTCCCGACCACAAAAGGTAGATTCTGTGACATCAACGAACAAATTCATCTTGCAAGCAAACAAACAAGCTACCGCTGCTAACCAGTTAAAACTTCACCAGTCCAATTGCCTCTTCTCTTCTATCTTTCCAAAGAAGGGCCAACTTCATAACTTTTGCAAAAGAGGGCAAAATCATGGTAAGGCCCTCTTTGCTAGAGTCCAGAAAGACAATTTGCTTCACCAGCAAACAAGTCACGTGCTTCATTCCTAAATGTTTTCCCGATTACAACCTTCCCCTAAATTTGAGGTCAGCATCCCATAAATGAAATAGCATACACCCTATAGTTTTTCCCGCAACAAGGATTGCTTTCTCAAATGGCATATGCCTCCCTTATGTGATAAAAGTAGCTCTTCAGTCTTCACACCACACAGAGTTAATGCATACAAACACTGGCAGAGATTTCACTAATGTGTTCATCTTTGTTCAAGATTAAATCTATATGACAGCAACTTCACGAAACCTATTGGGCATTGGTTACAAATCTTATATTTTGTATTAATATGAAGTTGATATCAAGAACATCAAAATTTCACATTATGAACCGTAATGTCAAAACAAAATGAGTTCAAAATGTGCAACACATATAGTCACATTAAATGTAATCAGAGAAACTAGGTAAATGAGTAACAAAATCAATTAAACTTCGCATTATCGACAGCAATCAAAACCAAACCACAAGATATTTCAGAGTGTACAGCAAGTTAGGGACGGATCAGAGGAAAGAAATATATTTACCCAAGAAGGAACACATATTGCCCTGTCAAATTGTCCACATTTCCACTTCGTTGTAGCAAAATTAACTGCGGAATCATAGAAACCGCCTCCAAGTATATAGAAAATGCCCAGAGCACCTGAAAGTAGTTTCAATTCACCATTACAATCATAACCTGTTTCAGGCACACCAATTTCAAAACAGACTAGATGCATCAAACAAGTCGAGAATGTCGAAAAACTTGTCTCACCTCTTGAAACGTGAACTTCTCGTTGACAAGCAGGGCGAGCATAAGGCAGCCAGCAATAAGAAAATAATGCCGGAACGTATCGAGCTCTTTATTGTATGAACGCTTCACCATTTTGTGCATCCGCATACACCAAACAATGGCCAGCGAGCTTCCGATAAACACCAGCTTCATCACAGTGTTATATACCGAAATAAAGTTCGTAAACAGGTCCAAATACCGAGCCAGAAACACCAGGGCATAGAGCTCCTGAGTCTTAAGCGAAATCCCTAATCACCATTAAGACACTAATCAATTTCCCAAAACCCCAATTTACCAAACTTGTAATCGCTAATGCATACAAATTCAAAGAAAATTAACTTAAAAAATCATAATGTTGTTCTCTTGAGCACTAAACAAATCAAAACAAAATCTGGGTTTGCATCACTTTGAGAAATATTTAGGTGGGAAACAATGAAATTCAATTCTCCATGAAAATTTTCCTGCGTTTTCTCGGGAAACAAACAGGGGATAGGAAAAATGGGAATTGGAAATCGAGGAGGGAAGAGGTGTGTGTGTATATATATACCTGAGCACGATTTGGTGGCGTAAATTTTGAGGAGGAGGATCAGAATACTGGCCAAGTGAGTCATGTCGCCGGCCAATCTGAAGACATTCATGGTTGCAAAGCAAGATTTTGTGCCCTAGATTTCAGCAGGAGAGAGAGAGGGAGAGAGAGAGAGAGAGAGAGAGGAGGAAGGTTGAAAGTGGTGCGAATGTTCGAAGAGTGCAAAAGAAGAGAGAGAGTTGACGTGGCAGGCGGAACGGCGGCTTTTGTCTACAGCCCTCCACGATGTTCCCATGAACGGAATGAAGAGTGAGTTTGTATCACATGCAGCTCGGACCCTGGGTGGAACCATCCCTCGTCCGTCCACGTAATCGCGCCCGTTGAATACAGTACGTGACGTATTTCTTCAATATATAATATTGTCACGCGTAAACACTACTTAAGACGTCACAATAACGGCACATCAGTTTGATGTAATGTATTAATACTGAAATAAAGGACTTCTATAGTCATGTTACCATCGTTATTTTTTTTCGTACAACGATATATTTTGCATTAAGGAGAGAAGGAGTTCGGTTAAGCCACACAATACACAACTTAATTTGGTATCGAATTCGTCATCCACGAGATTTGAACCCAAGACCTCTCACTTACAAGTGAAGATGAATGTCACCAGACTCTAGTACTGAGTGGTTATTCACTTTACCATTATTGGCACTCAAACACATATCTGAGTTCACCCATAATTCTATGTTAACACCACACTTTGATTACAATTTTAGGGGTGCATTCAATTAGGATTTTGAGATATTTGAGTTCTTTTTATAAATTAAGGGGTATTCAATCAGAATTTTAAGTGATTTTCTAAACATTCAGGTGTATTCAATCTAAATTTTAAAGGAATTTATAACATTTCAGGTGTATTAAATTAAAAATTGATTTTTAAAGATCTTAAAATGTTAGATAATTCGATTAAACTCCATCAAAATCAATAGATTTATAAATCTATTAAAATTTATTAGAACTTAATTGAATACACACTTAATATTTTCACCTCTTCCAATAAACACCAGCATAGTGATATATATTTAGGAATGAGGATCCTCTCTGGATCCTCTTTATGAGGATCTTAGGGATCCTCAAATCGTATGTGTTCATCGTACATCGTGCATTCATTATTCATATTTAATTTTAAATAAAAGTATTTAAAATGATTTCTGACCGCACTATGTACGATGAGCAGATACGATTTAAGAATCCCTAAAATCCTCACAAAGAGGATTCGGAAAGTTGTGAAATTAGCTTTTGTCCAAATTGTCCCCACCACGCTCAAAATGGTTACTCATGATCTAAAATAACCGAAGAAATTCAAGCAAGGATATATTTATAGTAAAATAATATATACAATAAAAATAAAAAGTCACTACAAATTAAGGTATATTTCATTAAATATTCATGATACGAAATATCATGCATCTCATTTCATGATGTTGATATACATATAATGTACCTCAACTGAGATCACAACATTCATGGTCTCCTTTGTTCTTTAATCGGAATATCAATACTAGAATGTTCCTTGAGATTCTCCTAATTGATTTATTGTGTTAAATTATATTCATATGATTAATACTGCATGATTGCATATCTCATATGCGTTTGAGAAAGAAGTACTGTGCAAAGTTCGTGTTGGAATGATCGACGATCTAGACCGGTGTTGTGCCACTTCCGTAAGTTTGTTGCGTACTCAAGTAACAAGGGCACGAAGGACGAAGCTACCTTCTAATGTGCGTGTCTAGTAGATCGAGTTTTTGTCAAATCCCCTTAATTTGTATTTGTTTGACCTGTAGTGGATTGTTTTCTGCCTGGCCAAGTGCCTGAAGATTTTCCCAGTAGTAGGTTTTGTCTCATTAAATCCTACATCACTATATATTGTGCGTTGCTCGTTGATTTTATATTCCATTGCAAGTCTGTTTCAATCTTACGATCTGATATATGTATATGAACGTGTGTACCAGTACTTTCACTTAATTACCACACTAATTGCAGTACTAACTGTGTAGTGCCTTGCAATTTTGCTTGAGGAGTAAGTTTTTTTATTTTTTATTTATTTATTTATTACCTTAGGGCCGGGGGAGCACAAGGGGCGTAGCAAACGCAGCGGAAGAAGAAGACGCATTTGCCGCCTACATAATTCTCCGATATGCATTTCTTAACACAGGGGCGAGTCCTGATGCAAAACCTAATGGGTGTTGTACAAACCCCAACTTCATCATTTGCTTCCGTACTACTCTTCACTTCTTTTTGTTCGATAGCTTCGGGCATTCTTCACTGTCTCATCTGCATGTAAGATTGATTAATGCATATGATGATGTATTGAACTAAGCAGAAAATATTAATTCATCGTTCACGTGATTGTGCTGTTAACTCACCCTTGACGATGGGGTAATGATTTTGGACGAAAAGAAGTTTAGAGTTTGATTTCTTCTAATGTAATAAACAATTACTAATCTTTTTACACGTATAATTGTGCTTATTGTGTGTGCGAGAAGGAGAGAGTGACAGTAATTACCAGAATTTGATGTATTAGAGTTTAGGGTTACACGAGGATATATAGAAAGCATTGCAGTGATAATCCCCAGTGCTCAAGGTTCTGCTTGGGAAAATTTCCCAAGGCAATATGATACTATGGCAGGCCCTGCAGACTCCCCCACAATACAGCCTGCAACCAAAAAAAACAAGAAAAGATCACAATGTAATTTGGTCACGGATAAGTAATAGATACCTCGTCACGCTGAGGACATCCGATAAAATTAAAATGATACATGGCATAGCTAGAGCAATTGGATGATTGATAACTTACCAATATGCTGACCCATTGAAGGGCGGATAAGGGTAGGGTGGCACCTATGCCTGCTCCAATGGAACCAAAAGCTAGTGATGCGCCACACCGGATACTAGTACCTGAAACCTTCTTCCCCAGAAGTTTAAGTTGTTCTCCCAAATCAGTGTCATCGTCATCCTCTTCTCTAGACCTTATCATGCGAGAAATAATTCGGTTGATTTCAATGCCAACTTCGATGAGCCATGTGGCTGCAAGACCAAGACCTTCCCCTGCATAAACACATAAACATGGACGGCAAAATGAGACCATACGATTGTTTCTCTTTCTTTCTATCGATTTTTATTTACGGCATAGGATATAGACATGGATTAGAATCTCACCTCTGAAGGTTGCTCTACTAACACTGAAAATGAAAACCACAGTAGGCAATCTTCTTCCAGATTTCCTCATGGCCGACTTTGGAACATCTGCTCATATTGATATACTGCATGTGTCAGTCACTTGCAACATTTGATTTTTGAAGCATATCGATTCATCTGTACCATCATTAGGCCTTTTTTTTCCCTGCTTAATTGGTCTTCTCGAATATATGAAACTAGATTTGAATTATTGTGGAAAGAATTTACCTTTGAGAAGTTTGCATGCCATTCTCCTTGAAACATAATGCACAGAAATTCGTTCTAGTATCTGCCTAGTAGTTACAACAGTAGTCTGACATGGGATGCAAAGAACTTAATTTACTTTGAGTACTAAAATATACTGATCATGGAAATAAGAATGTACAATGCAGGCCGGAAAACTCACGTCACGAAGAATTTGCTTTACTAATTTTTTGAGTGGAACAACATAATCTGCCACATGCTGCTCTTCTTTTTCATTGTCCAGCGGCAAGTAATCATCATCATCTTTCGAGCTTGAACAAGGTTCCGGTGGATGAAGTACAACGAACAATACAAATGACTTGAAGATTGTGACAGCTAAAGCCCTCCATTGAAAAGCTGAGAATAGAGGCTTTAACTCAACTTTGTGCTGCTTGGTATTGTAATTGTTCAGAAAGCCATATTCAAAGATTCTATGAGATGCACTTGGTGAACTAGAAACATTATCTTCAGACAATGATTATGTTGCATAATACTAAGCAAGTTAATACGTACATCGTCAAACTTAAGCCAACTACAATTGTCAAATTAATAATAAGATAAAGTGAAATATAACACAAGCCAAACATTGTTACATAAAAAAGTTAAAACGCGTTGCAGTGTGTAATTGACTCAGGATACCTCCAGCAAAAAATAGGCACGCCCCGTGGCAAAGGCAAAGTCAGATAAAGTTTATTTTCCAAGCACTATTTTTATAAAGTTCCCATAAATAGTTTATATCAGCACACCAGTACAACATACAATCATGTCCATATTTCTACTCAATTCCATATGAAACAAACAATCCAATATCAGTGGAGCCTAACGTCCAATCCAATCGTATAATTGCAACGCACTATACTACATCATAGACACATATTGGGAAGAGAGAGAAGGAGAGAGAGTACCCCATTAATTCGTTATAAGCATAAGGAGCTCCGGCGGCAGCAGAATAAGCGGCTTTGGCTAAGAAATACCCAGAAGAGTGTAATGCCTTGACCGTAGAAGGACTAGGGTTTTTTTTCTCAATATATCTAAAATTATAGCTATTTCCACCATTGTCACACACACAGTCACACTTAACCCTCTAAACCCTAATCCAAACCCGCAAAATTTACTGGAACCGTTAGGTAACGTATGGGATTTGAGAAACCAACAAAAGAGGATGCGATCTTATTAATTTAGCAGATGAGGAGACTGACCAGAAGGAAGAGGGAGAGTGGTTTTAAAAGAGTGCGACGTGGAAGAGACCTTTTTCTCACAAAAAAACATGAGATTTTCTCTTTGTCAAACAAAACATGAAAGTTTGGATTTCATTAGCCTTCCTTATGTTTTTCCTCCTCTTAGTCAAACAAGGACTAAAGCCCGTGTTTGACTTGTGGTTGAACTTTGATATCCAATGACTCTAGTCCTTGTTTGACTAAATGACAGAAAATTAGTTTGTAAACTTAGTGTTTTTTTAATAAATACATGGAATTTTCATATTAGGAAAAAGTGGAGTGGGGACAACTGCTCCCTATGGGCACAAACTACCTCCGTCCATGGTGGGAGGGGCGTGTAGAAAGTGTGAATTCTATATTAGGAAATTAATATGAAAAAAAATCTTCATAAAATTTATAAGGAGTTGAGTCACTATTTTTATTATCAATTAGTTTGATTGTAAAACTAAAATTCTATCCCAACGTAAGGACAAAAGAGAACAACTAGTTCAACTTAATTCTCATTTAGTTAAATTTGTTCACTCGTAAAAAAATATGCGTGGGACAAAATTTTCAACCCAAATTAGATGATCCACCGATATGTATGGGCCTGGTGTGTTACCTTACCTTCACAATTTTTACTTTTATTTTGTTTTTACAGATTATTTTGAACTTGTTTGAAAGTGTTTTTAAGATGGCTAAAAGCGCTTTTGATGAAAGTTTATTTGGGATCGAAAAACACTCAAAGTGGTTCCTACAAGATGCACAATTATGTGCTTCTTGCAGGAAGCACTTCAAGTGTTTTTGCAGGATTCACTTGCATTTTTAATAAGGATCGGTTACAAAAACACCCTTATCAATACACTTTCAATCATTTTAAAGGTATTTCCAAACAAGTCCTTAGTGATAAGGGCAGAACTAGAACTTAAAACAAAAATCTTGGTTTTGGGTGTCCAAAGAAAATTCAAGGGGTGTTTGGGTGTCCAACAAAAAGAACACTCTTTCTTCACTCCATATCTTGATGAGGTAATAAACTAGCAAAAAAACAAAAAAACAAAAAAATCTTTTCAGATTCATACCAAACGTGTGGCTACTTGCACATATACAATGTTGCGTTAATCATTAGTTTCTAAATTATTTTCGCTATCTAAAATAAAATGTTTAGTATCAAACTCAATATTCAGCCTTTAGCCGCCCCTATTAACTTTACAAAATAAAAATAAAAGAGTGCGAACTAGCCGTCGCAAAGATTCACTTTGGCATGCAATTAACTAATCATTACTCAAAACAAATTTTGAGGAACTAGTTTTTGCATAGATTAGAGATTGCATCACTCCCTAAACCAAAAAAATATGAAGGCTTGGAACACATGACGATACTGTTGTCCCTCCGGAACTAGACATACAAGGAGCTTTTCCGATGGATAAAAATGATGCTCTCCACCCTTTTCTTCCCCCAATGGAAAACAAAAATAAAAGGTCAGGAAGGCTTTTAGCAAAGTCAGCTGCATGCACTTGATAAACTGCTTTGGTCAAGATTAAATATTGGGCCCTATATATGTTAGCCATGTAACGACAATTTTGCTCTTGCTTTCTATAACGTTTGTGTATTATTTGCCCACCTAATCATTTGCTTTGGAAGATAACAAAGTAATTAAATTGTTTAATTACTTGAATTGTAGTCAAGCACTTTCACTTTGGTCTCATCAAATTGATTTTAAGTTGGTCTAAGTTTTTATTGAGGTTTGAAGAGGATCTGTAGTTTAGTCCTTAAAGCATCAGTCAAAGATTTGTTGAGAAATAAAGAAAGGATGCTTTCAGAAGGAAAATGTCAGGAGACACCGTTAAGTAATCTATGAATTTTCTCATCTTTTTTTTTTTTTTTTTTATGTATGTTATAGTAGAAATATTGGGTACAGACGACATCATATCCAAAAAAATGAGATCATCGAAATTATCTTTGTAATTGTACTACCGACCGCACCTCAAAATTTCACCGCTTATATAGGTGAGAGGTGTTAAGAATTTGCCCTTTTCTTTCCTTCTTTTTCCATAATCTTTTCAAGGGGCTGGTGGTTGAAACAAGAACCAGATTAATGTCCACCCCCCAATACAAATATGGTGTGAATTAGGTCACCAAACAAAAAGGCCATATGGACATGGACTTCATGTTGCCCTTCAACTGCTTAAAACCCCACCTCTCTCTGCCTTTAAAACTTGCTTCCTGCTGCTTCTTTATTTCTGCTATATATTCTGCATTGATATATACATGTGTGTGTGTGTATACACAAATATATTCTTGGCTGTCTGCAAGCACCACATTATGTGGTCCTGCCCTCCTGTTTTATTTTATTTTCACCAATGAGAATCCAAGAAATATCACATGGAATGACCGCCGCACCGATTATTTAACCAAATACTGAAAATATATCCCAAGTCTTTGGTATGAGATAATTCACCAAGTATTAAACCATGCACCATCCTTACTAAATTCCTTTGTCCCCTTCACTACATATATCTCACTGACCACAATGGGGCCTTATGTCATGTAACCTCATAACAACTTCACCAATGTCTCTAATCCATTATTTGCAGCCAAAGTTTCAAGTTTGATCTCTCTCTCTTTTAATTGTTGCTTTAATTTAATCAAAACTTCTTACTGATTTGTATATATTTGCACCTGAGATTATGAGTTCTATTTACCCGTCTCATTATCGCTTGTATAAAAAATCAATACCTATTATGACATGAAAACATGTATAATGCATTTACCCTTTTCACGTATACAATTTTTTTTTTTGTATTGGCAGCACTAATAAAACAAGCATATGGTCCCCTCCCCAACCATTATTATATAATCTCAGTGGCCACTTAGTAGGATGGGGACTTGGATTTTGTTCATAAGAACTTCACAGCCCTGGGGCCTACCTCTTGTGCTGCTGACTGGGTAATATTATGGGTCTCTGGGTTTTGCTGGCTACAAACCAACATGTGTTTTGATGAGTACTTCTGTGCATTGTAAATTCTTGGCCTGTACTCCTGTTTAATACAAGGATAGTGCTAGAAGAACTAAATTTGTAGCAAAATTTTGTAAGCTAAATGATATAGAAGTTGATAATTGGATTATTACTTAAACGTTAATAAACGTACTCGTTCTTATTAGTGACATATTATTTAGTTTACATATTTTGTCTACAAATTTAGTCTCACTAACATTACTTTTAATACAATTATTAAAATCCAGCTAACAATATTTTGATTTTATTTTCTGTGCTTTTATACATTAAACTAATAACCAACAAAGAACAAGAAAACAAAAAAGAAACACATTTGAATTATGTTTGTACCGAAGGGAAATCTGTCTTCAACAGACAGGCTTCATCAAACATCCCACAGTAAGCCGTCATGAGCTTCATGAGGCATCGCCTACACCATCCACTATTTGGTCAGCCCCTCCATCAATTGCGACGGAGCATGGTCCGTCCAAGGAACCCGGGCAGCTTCGGAAGGTGGAAGTCCGGGCAGCTTTGGAAGGATTATATATCATATATGTTTGGATAGAATCAACTTGCAAGGAGGAAGTTGTGGTTCGGGTCTCTGAGTAGCAGACGACCAACTTCCCTGGTTTTCATTTTTTCTTCAAGACGGCTTACCATGTCCTCCATCTGACATGGAACACAGTTGGTTTGTCTGTGGGAGTGGGTCTGATCTAAGTGCCGCTTTGACTGTTGAATGAAATAAGTCCTTGAATCGACTCACGTTGATTATCTGGCTGTACAAATAATACTCTTGGTTTTGGAGTCCCGTAATGTTTAATGAAGTCAAAATGATGGCTTACCTTATCCTCTCTAATTTCTTGTAATCAGGAGTGAAGGAGGCGACATTTAGCATTTGTTGCAGCGTCCTGTACCTCTGTACCCTCCTTCATTATCTTATTTATGTCTTTAGTTTTCCTCTTACTTACCTCTCTGTGGGCTTCCTTTGAACTCTTGGCTTTTGCTCTGGTTATGAAAATCTTCAGTTCACCCCAAAAAAAAAAAAAAAAAAAAAACTGTCATTTTGTACTACGGTTTAGTAGTATTTCTCTTCACTTTTAAGTGAGAGGTCTTAGATTGAATTTTCGTCAAAGATAAATTTAAACTATATTATTACTAGCTCATTATAAGGCTTAATTCGTTTTCCTACCCGGTAGTGTAAATAAATGAAGTCAAACCTTGATTAGGAGCCTAATACAGTATTACAGTTTGTCCACTGCAAATTACAGTTTGTCTTGCGTCAAAAGATTCCCTGGAATAACAAAGTGGCAGATAATCCTAGATAATTTACCCTTATAAAAATAAAAATAAATGAAATAAAAATAAATAAAAATTCTGTCAGGTTATCCTTGTTATCCTTAACAGAAGGCATCATTTCTACTTGTTAAGAATCAGAGACATCAGCCTCATCATTCATGATTTGAATCTAAGACATCACCCTCTCATCATTCATGATTTGAAGGGTGCACGTGACGTCGGCATTGATAGTTTCCTTTTCTACAAGCCCCCTCCGGCAACTACCACAGCTACTATCCCATAGCCAAGCTAATTGAGCATCTCTAACCAATCTTAACAAGAATATCAGCAACGAAATTTGCTTCACAAAAAACATGTTTAAATTCCATGTCATGAAATCGACAAGCGATCTTTTAAATGCTCTTGATAATGGTATTGAGATAGTTGGTCATTTGCTGTAACGAGTTCTTCTATTAAAGTTAAAAAAAATAAAAAATAGCATGAGATACATTTTTTTTTCCTTATGATTTTATGTGACTACATGAGAAGTTTTTAGATTTTCGATAACTAGATCACATAACTGTTTAGCATATGACACTTACTAAAAAGTATGTGGGATCGAAAAACATAGAAGGTGGAGTGTCTTGTGTCTACGGCCAGACAACCATGTGATCCGATATCATTTAGATTTCAGAATTTCTCCTACTCATGACATCACACATTTTGCCTATTGGAACGTAGGGATTGTGGCTGTGTCACAATATCACAAAGGAGTTAATTGAACAACTGCAAAATTATTACTTAAATTAAGCATAGTGCATCTCCAAGCGATAAATCAGGGTTTATTTCAAAATTAAATAACGTATCATTCCACTATGGTGAGTCTGCTTGATTGTAATCATGTGCTGGGTAAAATTCTCCTTAACCTCTTCAAGTTCGGAAAAAGTGGATAACCGAGGCTTGCCAAATTTACCATATGATCGATTTTAAATGTCTTGTGATTGTTATATTTAGATAGTTTTGTTAACGTCAAATTACCTAATAGAAAGTCATTAAGAAATGTAGAAAAATAAATATTTCATTAATATGACTTAAAAAAATCCCTTTAAATTAGGTTCAATAATTGGAAGCCAAATTGAGAACACTAACACACACGCATATGATATAATAAATTATTGATTGGTAGATAAAATGGTTAAGCGTGAAGTTTTTGCACTCAAATTTAAAATGTCAACCTTAAATTATATAAATTTTAAGGTAAATGCCAAATTAAGGTCTCTGCAATTTTCAATGGAACGGAGTTCTTAATTTATTTAATTTTTTTTAAAGAACATAAAAAGGAAATTTAAGTAATAAAAAGTTGGTCTGCACCCTGCATGCTCAAACAAACGGATTCACCGCTTTATTTGCGATGTGTTCTCTGTTTGCAGAGGTGTCTCTCTGTGTCCGTCTGTAACAGATCTCACCAATCTCTCTCTCTCTACACTCTCAGATTCTCTCTCTCTACTCTCACTCTCACTCTCTTGTTTTTCTCACTACCCTCTTGCTGCTGAACTCTCTTTCTCTCTCTCTTCTCTCTCTCTCTCTCTCTCTAACCTTCTCTCTCACTCTAAAGGTGGTTGGTTTGAAGGGGAAGAGGCCTCGTGAAGTTCATGTGAAGCTCGGTGGGAGATCTGGGTGGGGGACTTAATGTGCAAACGGGTCACTGGCTTTTCTGATTTCAGGTGATTGGAGTGCTTCCTTCTTTCCCTTTCATCTTTTCCCTTCCTTTTTTTTTCATCTTTCATGTTCTTTCTATCTCAGCCTTATGTTTATTCTCTCCCGTTTTCCCCCAAAAGTTAGCCTTTGGTTGTAAGTTTTGGGTTTTTGTTTAATTGATGCATTGAATCTCAGCTGTGTTTTTTGGTGGCTGTTTCTGCTTCTTTGGGGTTCCATTTGGGTGAAATGCTTTCAAGATTATGTCTTTAATGCTGTTTTGATGAGCTGAGGGGATCACTGTGTCGTTCTTCGCGTTGTTGCGGTTGGGTCCATTGCCTTTCAGTGAGAAATTATGTGTTTTGAGGGGTTTGTTGTGTGTGGAGCGGATGGCGGAGGGATCATTAGAAATGGTGTCGTTTAATTTGAAATCGAATGTTGTTGTCTTGTTGGAGGATCTTTGATTGCTTGAGTTTTGGCGGCTTTGCCGAACGACCAGTGGGGGGATAGCATTGGGGGTCATTGAGGGAATTTTGTTGCTTTTATGCTGCCGTTGTTCCGGAGATTCAGGTGTTACTAAGTAATCATGCGAACGTGTTTGTTTCATTAATTCAAAAGAGATTCTGCCATTGGACACGTTGACGGTCTGATCATGACCAGGGCTGTTCGCAATAGGATACTCAAGGATGCGAATGGTGATACTAGTGATCATCTGCGCAACCACATTCATTTGACAAATTGCATTCACTTGAAGAACCATATGCACAAGCAAAGCCCCATATTGGCGGACAGGTCACTTATGAGGGACCTTGTCGTCCTTCAGAGGTCGCGATCTCTCAGGGACCCTTCTGCCAGTCCGCCCTCATGGCATTCGCCTTCCATTCTTGATATGCTTTCCAGAAGAGGTGAAAATGATGCCTTGGTGCGTGAGGGGAGAAGGTCAGTAGGAAGTGAGTATCGAAGGGATGCCAGGAGGCTATCAGCAGGTTCTCCACCTTTGGCAAGTTTAGCGACACCAAAAGTTGCTCAACGTGAGGCTAATGCGGGAAATGATGGTGTGGCCGGAACCAGTGAACATGGAAGCAAGAGTGGAGTTAGGGATGGTGGGAAAATTAGGAGAGAAGAATCTAGTCAGAAGAGTAATAGAAGTGAAAGTTTGGGTGGCAATGAGGAGCCTCCGCTAGACCAGAATGGTAACGATTTGACTCATGACGCTCTTTCTGGGAATTCAGAATCCAAAATTAGAAGAAGTAAACAAAAGGGAAAGCACACCCAAGGTGCTCAAATGAAGACTCTCTCAGAGCAATTGAATGATGTTAGGATGGATACTGATGATGTAGCGTCCTCTAATATCCACCTGCCTGGAAGACGGTCCAGGCAGGGAAGAATCTCTGAGGAACAGGAGGTCAGCGCTCGGGGCTATTGCAGCGGACTAAGTAGGGTAAAAAGGCGGAGATTTCGAGGTGCAAGAAGAAGCCGTGCTTCTGTAGCGTCCAGAGACTTTGGAGCTCAGCATGGTTTATCTGTAGCTTCTAATTCTATAGCTCAAGGGTCAGCTCACCGAAAGTATCACATGGAACAGGGAGCGGATGAGTATGGTGAGCAAAATGTCACAAGGGCTCCTAGAAACGGGTGTGGGATTCCCTGGAATTGGTCGAGAATCCATCATAGAGGTAAAACATTCCTTGACATTGCTGGAAGGAGCATTTCTTGTGGTTTATCTGATTCAAGGTTTAAGAAGGGTGATCTGGCTGCCCATGGTAGAGATATTTCTGACATGCCCATGGCAACTGATAACTCGAGCGTTTCTACTAAATCTGAACCTGAGGCACTTCCTTTACTAGTTGAAGCATCTGGATCACAGGCAAGCTCTGACAATGCTGGTTGGGTACATGACTATTCTGGTGAACTTGGTATTTATGCAGATAATTTATTCAAGCATGATGTCGGTTCCGACTATGCTTCTGAAGCTAGATCTGGTGATCAACGCAAATTGAGGGGACACCGCCGTCGTAGGCACCAAAATCTGACGCAAAAATACATGCCGAGAACCTTTAGAGATCTTGTGGGGCAGAATTTGGTGGCACAAGCTCTTTCAAATGCTGTCATGAAAAAGAAAGTTGGGTTGCTATACGTGTTCTATGGTCCTCATGGCACAGGGAAAACATCATGTGCTCGCATATTTTCTAGAGCTCTAAATTGCCAGTCTCTGGATCATCCCAAGCCTTGTGGCTTTTGCAATTCTTGCATTGCACATGATATGGGCAACAGTAGAAATATAAAGGAAGTTGGGCCTGTTAGTAACTTCGACTTCGATAGCATTATGGACCTACTTGACAATATGAGTATTTCCCAACTGCCATCACAGTGCAGAGTGTTTATCTTTGATGATTGTGAAACATTGTCCCCTGAGTGCTGGAGTGCCTTATCGAAGGTCATTGATCGAGCACCCAGACATGTGGTTTTTGTCCTTGTCTGTTCAAGTCTTGATGTTTTGCCTCACATAATCATATCCAGGTGTCAAAAGTTCTTTTTCCCTAAGCTAAAGGATGCAGATATTATTTACAGTTTGCAATGGATAGCAGCCAAAGAAGATATAGAAATTGACAAGGATGCACTGAAACTTATTTCGTCAAGGTCGGATGGTTCATTGAGGGATGCTGAGATGACTCTAGAGCAACTGAGTTTGCTTGGCCAGAGAATCTCAGTTCCTCTTGTTCAGGAACTGGTAAGTTCTTCCCTGTTCTTTACTGATCCACCAGAATGAGAATTGCTAATGGTTTTCCCGTGTATATATATTGCCTTGAAAAATGATGATTATTAGAAATAATGAGGATCCCTACTTCCTCTCGTTCTGTTTCAAGCTGTTTATTTATCTCTGTGATTTCTTGAAATGGGACGTTTTAAATTTTCTTCTTTTATCCATTTGCGATATAAATATTAAGGTAACGTATTTTCTGCACCTCTTTGCCTCATGTTTTTTTATTACAGTTTCTCTTAGCAAATTCCTTTTGGATTCCTTCCTATTTTTGCTTCGTGTTTGATGTTACAAGTATTATATTATTTCCATATAAAGATATCGGAATGCTTTGAAACCAGCATGGTCTTGTAAGACAATTATCTTTGCTCTTGTTACTTTAGATGAACTACCTGAAGATTTTGACTTCGTTTTGCAGGTTGGGCTTATATCTGATGAGAAATTGATAGATCTTCTTGATTTAGCATTATCTGCAGACACAGTTAATACTGTGAAGAATTTGAGAATGATAATGGAAACTGGAGTTGAGCCATTAACTTTGATGTCACAACTTGCAACAGTAATTACAGATATACTTGCTGGCAGCTATGATTATAGAAAAGAAAGGCGTAGAAGGAAGTTCTTTCGGAACCAACCATGTGAGTCCAAAAGTTTAGTAGAGAAATCGAATAGTCCATTTTTTTCAATAATAATTTATTTCAGTGATTCTCATATTCGGTTCCAAATATATACTTATCATAGAATCATTTATGTTCTCTTCGGTTTTCACCATAGAAATATTTAGCATGCTTGAACTACTCTTGGTTGCGCGAATGCCCTAATGGAAACCTCCTTAAGTAGACATTGAAAACCCTTGCCGTTTGAAATTCAATGGTTGATTCCTGTAAACTTATATCCTTTTTTGTGTTAGTATTTTTCAGTAAACTAAAAAACAAATTAATTGGTTGCAGTATCAAAAGAAGACATGGAGAAGTTGCGTCAAGCTTTGAAAACTTTATCTGAGGCCGAGAAACAATTGAGGATGTCAAATGACAAGTTAACATGGCTAACCGCTGCACTTCTCCAACTTGCTCCTGATCAACAGTATATGTTGCCTAGTTCTTCTGGAGGCACAAGTTTCCATCAGAGTCCGTTGGCCTTAAATAATGTGAGCGCAAGGGATGCGGTCAGGAGAGATAGTGAACAAGATGAGATGCCAAATTATGAGAAAGGCTTGCCAGCAAATGCTCGAAATTCTGTAAGTTCTGGAAAAGGTATGAGTTTAGATAGAAAACGTCATGCTGGGATGGCTATGGCTTCTCAGCAGATGGCTACAAGCTCCGCTGAAATAACCAGGGTAAATGGGAGGCAAATCCATGGCAAAAGCCACAAAGGAATTGAAGAAATTTGGTTGGAGGTGCTTGAGAAAATTCCGTATAATCGTGTAAAAGAATTTTTGTACCAAGAAGGGAAGCTGACCTCGGTTAGTTTCGGTGCAGGTAAGCAATAACTGCTCTTTTATGAATGCCCTTTCCATTTAATCCTTATAAACATGTGCATACACACATTTATCCTTCCGCGAAATATGTCAATCGACTATGCAATTACTGGTAGCGGTGGTTTGTAGGTTTTGAAAATATATTTTGGGAAAATAGTTGTTTGTAGGGTTTTTGGATTATGATCCTGAGACATGGATGCAAAGTTGACTTAATTACATGACATTTTACATTTCATAAACTTGCTAAGAACTCTCAGTTTGCTCTGTTTCACAATGAGATAATCATACGCTTCTCGTTCAAATTTTTCATCCTTGTTTTATTACCTTATATTCGATTCATGTTTCAAGAAATCTGAAAGCAAATTGGCTTGTAGTTAATGTCTAACATTTCAGATTTGTATGCCTAAAATAAGCCCCTTATTCTGCCACATGCCAAATTTGATCATAACTATTCAAATCAAATATCAACACAGCATTATTTCCTTTAACATGTTTCCTTCCTTTTGCAGCACCCACTGCGCAGTTGATGTTCTCTTCGCATATGACCAAATCTACCGCAGAGAAGTTCAGAGCGCAGATTTTGCAGGCATTTGAGATTGTTCTAGGGTCTCCCCTGACAATTGAGATTAGATGTGAATCAAAAAGAAATAGTAAAGAATGGGCCCAGATGCCTATTATTATACCAGCTTCAAAGGATGGTTCATCCCAGATTAGAGATGAAAATACGTTCAGCGCCCGTGAAGTGGGGACGAGTGAAATTGTTGAAGTAGCTGCTTCTCCTAGGGAAAGCAAAGGTAGTGGTCAAATGCATAACCAAAAGAAACCAACCATGGCGATAATTCCAGAAAAACAACAAAGCCAGAGTCAAAGCATTGTTAGGAGCAAGGTGTCCCTTGCACATGTACTTCAGCACTCGGAGTTGCAACGTGGATGGTCACAACGTAAAGCAGTTTCTATTGCTGAAAAGCTCGAACAAGATAATTTGTAAGTAATGCAATTCCATCGACTTCATCTTTTCGTTTCAAAAAACTTGTATTTCATATCTTATGTTCTTGATTAATTGTTTCATATGAAATGGCACTGATTCTTTCTAAATCACAGGAGACTGGAATCTCGATCGAGAAGTTTGCTTTGCTGGAAAGCGTCTAGAGTAACTCGTCGAAGGGTAAGTCGTTTGAATCTCGTTATCCTTTCTTGCAATGAAATTCCTGAGCAGTCTGGCGTGCCTTGCGACATAATATGCAGGCATAATATGCAGGCCCTGGCCTTACTCCTCGTTTTTAAACCTAAGTTTACTCCTCATGCCATAGTACTTAGATATACAATTTCTAGCTGAACGCTACTTGTATAATGCTCGGGTCTATCGTTGCATCCTTGTTGATTGTCATGCCGGTCAGTTTGAAGATGAAACTTACGAATGCATTTCACATGCAGCTTTCGCGGTTGAAGATAAGGGCACGAAGACCGCATTCATTGCTGAAGCTCGTGTCCTGCGGAAAGTGTCTCTCTTCAAGGTCACCAAGGGCAGTATAAGAGAGACAGGTTTTGGCTATAGCTTTAAGGGTTTTGTACAACCTCATCTGTTATTTATTTCTTGTATTTAGCCAATTTCATTCAGTTTACTAGCTCAATTTATATCCTTTTACATTGAATAAAAATGATATTTCATGAAAACATGGTAGGGGAAATAAGTTTTAACTTCTGCAAGTTTCGGTTTACTGTTAACTTTTACTTCTCTTTTCTACAGCTATAACCATTCTTTCTTTTTACGCAAGCGATACGGGAGGAGGGTCGAGTTAAAACATTGGTACAGGGGTGAACGCTTTTGGCCAACTGATATTCTCATTTAAACAAACACGAAACTTGATTAAATTAAGTTGATTACCTACTTTTTGTTAACCACGATTTCGGAAAATGCCAAAAAGTTGAGGGCCATTTCTAAAAATATCATATCCAACCGATCCAGCCAGAGGATCATAGGGTCAAAAATAACCTAAAATGACACGAAAATTGTCTCCAACTGAGAGTTAGGCCAAAGGGTTTGTGGACCCCACTAGGCTAAAACCAACCAATTAGGCCAGCAGGCTGACCATCTCCAGCCAGCCCACTTTTTTTTTTTTAAATTATAATTTTTTTTCCTACACAATTTCTCACATACTTTTCACCATTTTATATTATCTTACTTCATTTCTAATAATCTTCCTATGTTCGAAAATCTTATGTTAATATAATAGTTTAATTTAATTAATTATATTAATTCAATTAAAATAATAAATTATATTTGGCTTATGGCCCTTTGGTCCTCTCGGTTGGAGATGGTTTTTTTTTCACAAGGTTATGTTTGGTCTATGGCCCTTTGGCCCTTTCGTTTGGAGATGGTATGAAATATGATATAACACTGTTCATTAAAATATAATTTATTGAAAGACTATAGGACCAAGGAGAATTTTCTGATATTCCTTAGATTGGAGATGACCTTAGTTGTTTTGAGTGAACCCTACTTTACTCCCAAAGCAATACGAAGAGGAAGAGGTGGTGTGTATTTTGTAGTTTTTGTCAAAGGTTCTGGTATGAATCCATGTACTCTCAAGTCGTAGTCGTTTTGTTTGGCATATATATATATATATATATATATATATCTCTCTCTCTCTCTCTCTCTCTCTTAAACTAATACTTAAATGTTGACCTAATTGTCGTTTGGTCAAATAATGGGCAGTATTATCTTTCAGTCAGTCACACTTTCAAACTCCGTGGTCGGTTTCTTTGAATTTGGAAGGGAAAAGAGATGCCAGACAAGGGAACTCTTTCAATCTTTTTGCTTTTCAGGAATAAAACCCAAACCCTTTTCTCCCTTCCTTTTGGCCTTTTGTTTTTGTTGCTTCCTACGGAAATTATGGTTGTAAATCCGCTTCATTCCTACCACACGTTTTTATCACTTCAATACGATGATATTCTGAGTGATTTTTAAATCGAACTTATTTTACAGAATATACATATAATTTAACTAACTGACCTAACTCATAATATATTGTAGTCATCTTTCTTTTCCTCAAAGTGTGATTAAAATTTTACGTAATAAGGACAATCATTGGGTGGCATATGCAAAACATGTGATTTGATTTATTTATATATATCACAATTAGGGATGGGCAAATACCTATCAGTTATGGGTAACCACGGTTATCCGTCCATTTAAATTTCACGGTTACGTTTATGAGTAACCGTTTAGATAAATAAACGGTTATGGGTATAATCGTTTACCCACGAAATTTAAATTGGCGGTTATGGATATTAACTGCGGTTATAAACGGGTAATCATTTACCCATTTATTTTATATATGTAAAATTAACACAAACCATGTTCCCTATCGAACAAAACTTAGATCAATGCTATTGACTATAGTGCATGATTTCTATAGCTAATATAATATAACTTAACCACTTTAAATTTCATGGTCCATTATATATATTATGTTAATATTTTACATTCCGAGTTAAATAACCTAAGAATACTGCCTTTTAACAGTTTTCGTAACCCATGAATACTTAGCAAATTTTATATTACCTTCATTGCTAATAGTTAAAAATATCGTCTGTAAAATATTATTTCAATTATTGGAATGGTATAAGTAAGAACTTAAAAAATTAAAATGCGGAAATGTATGATGAATGTACCTATAACGGTGTTTAATTATTAGAAAAAGAAAATTATGACAAAATTTTCTTTTTTAATTTTCAAGTTATTAAAAAAACATGTAGACGGGTGAAAAATGAGTCAATGGTAAAAAAGAAAGGATAAACGGGTTTAAAAATGATAAATAGGTAACAGGTTACGGTTAAATGGGTACACGGTTATGGGTATGGTTAACCGTTTATAAACGGTTATGGGTATGGGTATAACCGTTTAGACAATTACCCAATGGGTAAACTTGTTAGATAAATAACCGCGGTTACCCGTCCGTCATAACCGTTGTCCATCCCTAATCACTATAAAGGCAGAAATTTTGGGGAACCCAATGCCTTCCTGCTTGCTTTACTTGGTGAAATTCAATTCGTCTTAAGAGAACCGGTAGGATTAAGGGTGCGTTTGTTTGTCATCACTAACGTTCATTAGGCTACACTTTTTGTTAGTGTAGTCCAATATTTATTATGTACAAAGATTAAGTTTAATGAAACTAGAGAGGACTCGCTTCGACTGACACCCTTCAATTGCCAAAACGCGTTATCTTGGATCGATTGGCCGATCTATCATGTTTAGGGTTTGATTATGGGCAGGATTCTTTGTCTGCTTCTTCAGTTGCGATTGAACTTACTCTTCTTTTCATATTAGTATTCAACTAGAGTCTAGAGTGATGGGGTATGGGGTAATTTATGTTGAAGTTTAACCGTCAAACTCACACGAACATTGTATACTTTCTTAGCAGTGAGAGTTAACAATAACGTTCTTATAATATTAATAAATGCATACAAGTATTGCAACATGAACCAAACAATAATACCATGCGACGATATTGTGAAGTTATTGTTTCGTTCTAATTGTATTCTTAAAATAATTGTGTAATGATTCAATTTTTGAAACTAAGTTTATACTAGCAAAATACAAGTATTTCGGTTAGTTAACATTATTCATACCTGCATTTGAAGTTTCGAGTTTGATGTCTCCTACTCGATTATCATTTGTATATTTTAAAAAAGGAAAAATAATTTAATACCTACATTATTGGATAAGTTATTAGGTGTTGGTTTTAGAATGGTCAAAATTATTAAATATGCCACAAAATTATAGTTGAAATCCTAATCCAATGCTCCAACATTTTGACCCAAAATGAAAGCGAAAAGCATGAAACATATGTTTCAGTTTTATTATTAGATTTTTCTAAATCCTCCAAAGATATTCATCTATTGTTTAGAAAATACCACCAACTAAGGGTGGCAAATTAATTGTGTTTGTGTATGTTATGTCGACTTACACTTTTATTTAATTTCGGTCTTTGTTTTGTTTGATTTATTTAATTTGATAATTATAAATAAATAGGAATTTGTGAGAACTTAAAACGCAAGTGCTTTTAGGTCAAGCTAATAATATTAATATTAATGTTGTCTAAATAAATAAAAAATTAGTGTGTTCGAAACACCAAATGATATAATGCACGTCATTAGATAAGTAAAAAAAAGTTTCATATCTCAAGCGTTTCTCAATTTGTATAATGATGTGTATGTATCACCACATGTTTAGACACGTTGAAAAATCTCTCGTTCAAATTTCAATGCGCGTAAAAGCTGCGTGGCCCCCACAGTTTTATGTAGTCAACCCTTGAATCAACAAATCCGAAGCCAAAATGCTTGCTTAGTTTACACCTACCTTTACTTTGAGCAAAGCAATCATGAAAATACTATTTTCTCTTCGCCCCTCCTCCGTAACAGGTGCTTTTTGGCTACCGAAGAATTAACTTCCTTGTGACCTAGACTTGTGGAGTGTACATCACTCATCGTATTGCATGACAAATGAGGGGGGGAATATATATATATATATCTACAACGAAGTGTACATCACTCATCGTATTGCATGACAAATGAGGGGGGGAATATATATATATATATATATATCTACAACGAACATTTCATGTTTGAAAATTAATCTTTTTTAATCATTTGAACGAGATGTTCAATTACATCAAGATACACTCATTTAAAACTTACGACTAAGGATTTGACATATTTAGACCGTGTACATGCTACAATGGCAAATTTACGTGCACTTGGAAGAACACCTAAGAACCACATAAACAGTTGGGTGATGTGATGTGATAGGGGAATTTAGGGTGATAGCAAAAACTGTGGGCTTAAACGATGGCAGTTTGAGGGAAGGGATTCCCAAAAGTGGCAACCAAAGTGAATGACAAGTTAACTTCTTCACGTAAATATCCAGATCAAGAACATAGCAGGATTAATTTTGGAAAACACGTACGTGTTCTGCACTTCAGGAGAATGACGTTTATGATTCGGTGTATTACCACCGTGGTATTTGGTTTCAACAATACAATACATAACGTAGTTTCTAGAGTCCTATGACCCGAAAAAATTGTTGTCAACTCTCGTTTGTCTTAATTCAACATTGGAAGAAAAAAACTATTTATTCAATTTTTGTTGTTTTACTTTATTGTCTGTCACTGCTCGTTAGATTGATTGAACCATGGATAAATATATTTTCTTAGAGTAATGCTATTCACACAGTATTTTTTACTTTACATGCATTGTTGTTAAGTTTTGTTCATTAAACTTCTTCACTTCATTTAATCTAACAGCTAAAAATTGAAAATGATGCATGAGAGATAAAATAAATGTGTGAATAGCATCATTTTTTCTTAAATCATAAATTCTTAACCGAACGAGAAATGATATTATTGACACGAAACGTAACTGGAAAAATATACATGTGAGGTAGACATTCATCTCCCACCTTCCCCCGTTAATGGTGTATGACTTCATTAAGGATCCAAAGTCCAAAGGCGTAAGTAAAGTGGAAGAAAATGCGCGTCCTTTTTAGTCACGGAAAGCAGCTGCAGCGGCAAGAAGACGAGGAAATGTGGACATTGGGAAGCTGCCGCTGCTACATCATTGAACGCTGCACAGCAACCTCTACAAAATATTAACTCGTATATTTGCAATTCAAT